GATTATTGCAAAAGCAAAGTGTGTTTAAAAAATAAATAAATAAATATATATATATAATAAATACAAATCTAATAATATATTTAATAGATATTATATATAATATAATCATGAGTTTATGGATTTGCTTTTTGCACTCGCCGTAAAATCCTTTTCTCTGCATTCATTGAAGGACACAGCGGAGAGCTTGATCTCTGTGCCGATGGGTTATACCGCCACTTGCAGGAGTGGGACTCCTACTCCTGCAGGTGGCAGTATAATCCACTGGTTATGAGATCAAGATCCCAGCGGAGCCCTTCGATGAATGGAAGAGAAAATAGGATTTTTTTGTACTCCCTGTTAAATCCTTTTCTCTGTGTTCTATGAAGGACACAGCGGATGTCCTTATCTCTTAACCAATGGGTTATACTGCCACCTGCAGGAGGAGGAGTCTTATTCCTGCAAGTTACAGTCCATGTGTCCATTACAGTCCTGACCGCACGTCCAACAAAGTATCCTGGGTGCTCAGTAGTCTATTTCTTTTCTGCATTACTCCTGCAAATGGCGGCATAACCCATCAGTACATAGATCGAGTCACTTGGACTAAGAACCTCCCCCCGCCCAACAGCACAGCCAGGTTCTTGACTTCCTGTTCAGCTACAGCGCAGCGCTACAACTGGACCAAGTCCACACCTCCAGGCAGAGCAGAGGGATGACCCTACAGTGTCCTGCTGTACCCTCAATGACTGGACAGTGAAGGAGCAGCAGAACACTGATGAGTGATCCCGCTGCTCTTTCCTCCCGTCAGTGCATTTACTGTGCACGCAGCATAGCCTGACTGGCTTCTACTTCTGGCCTGAGGGCTTGTTCACACCCTGTCCAGACCTGAACAGTTTGTGTTCCCGGTCCAAAAAAGCATCCCAACGTATGATATCTCTGGGCTCTGTTCACACCAGTGCAGTCCGGTCCAGACAAAAACAAAAATACTGCTCGTCTCCTTTGCTCTGGTCTGGAATGCATGTAAACGCATCATAAACGTGTGCAAACGCAATGGAATGCACCATTCTGTGCAAAGGGGGCCCCTCGACCCGCTGACACACCACCAGTGCTTACACACTGCCTCTGCAGGCAAACATACCCGATGCTTCTGGGTATAGGGGGGCATGTAGCCTCCTCCCATGTGATCTAGCAACCAATCATTAGACCCAACCCTGGGAGGGGCATTACCCAGGTGCTGTACCTTTGTTCAGAATAGGAAAAGTGATGGTGTTCCATTAAAAAATACCCGTGCCTTACCCAATATCACCCCCCCCCCCCCCCCCGCCCCACCCCACC